TGCAGTAGGGTCAGAAACCCATTGCCATTGTTCTTGAGTTCTCAGTAGTCCTCATTGTCCGCTATGCTCAGTGAGTCTGTAGACCTGGATGGAGGTGGGTGGTTCTTGGATTTCCCACAGGGCAGGAAACCCTGATTGCTCTTTGGGCTGACGAGGGTGGGGGACTTGACGGGGGAGGGAGAGGGAAATGGGAGGCGGTGGCGGGGAGGAGGCAGAAATCTTTAATAAATAATTAATAAATAAATAAAAAGGTAAAAAAAAACAGTTCTGGGCTCAAACAAGGATGGAAAATGCTGGAACAGTTGGGTTTGTCTTCTCTCCACCTCAGATGACATGGAGGGGAAAGTGGGAAATGGCATGCTCCCTGAGCTGTCCCCCCTCTAGTGGGCCTTCTCATCAAAAACATGGCAAGATCACCTGGGCAGACAAGGGAGAGTTTGTAGGCATGTCTCAAAGAACACACGGACCAAGATGCAGGAGGTACCATTCATTCCTCGGGGCAGCGAGCTGGATGCAGAATTCAAAGTCAATGAGACCACATACCATTTTCATATGCTTCCAGACTGCAATGGGTCCCCTCTCCCACTCCAGACTCTACAGCTAGAGGTGCATGGCATGTTGACATACATATGCATGTATGTATACATGTTGGCATATATAACATGAATGTGTGCATGTATATGAAATATGCATGTAAGTGTATACATACATATATTAAACACAGGCATAAACACAAGCAGGCAAGAAGAAAGAATATACACATGCATATGCATAAACACTTAGCATAATTCAGCTTTATTAAAGTCAACCAACAGTAAGAGTCTTTGCTGTATTTCGGTCCTTGGCTTGGCACAAGAACACACGGCTAAATGAGTGTCACCAGTTCAGAGGAACTCACCATTCAGAGAGGACACAAACTGAAAACCCAAATGCCCCTGTCAATCAGCATGGTCTCAAACAAGGATGGAAAATGCTGGAACAGTTGGGTTTGTCTTCTCTCCACCTCAGATGACATGGAGGGGAAAGTGGGAAATGGCATGCTCCCTGAGCTGTCCCCCCTCTAGTGGGCCTTCTCATCAAAAACATGGCAAGATCACCTGGGCAGACAAGGGAGAGTTTGTAGGCATGTCTCAAAGAACACACGGACCAAGATGCAGGAGGTACCATTCATTCCTCGGGGCAGCGAGCTGGATGCAGAATTCAAAGTCAATGAGACCACATACCATTTTCATATGCTTCCAGACTGCAATGGGTCCCCTCTCCCACTCCAGACTCTACAGCTAGAGGTGCATGGCATGTTGACATACATATGCATGTATGTATACATGTTGGCATATATAACATGAATGTGTGCATGTATATGAAATATGCATGTAAGTGTATACATACATATATTAAACACAGGCATAAACACAAGCAGGCAAGAAGAAAGAATATACACATGCATATGCATAAACACTTAGCATAATTCAGCTTTATTAAAGTCAACCAACAGTAAGAGTCTTTGCTGTATTTCGGTCCTTGGCTTGGCACAAGAACACACGGCTAAATGAGTGTCACCAGTTCAGAGGAACTCACCATTCAGAGAGGACACAAACTGAAAACCCAAATGCCCCTGTCAATCAGCATGGAGGCTATTTACAAGAGGAGGTGGCCTTGACTCCTGCCAGAAGGGCTCAGGTCTCAGCGTCACTACTTGGAAACCATGTGATATCCAGCATGCATCCTGAGCTGCGGAGCCCTTGTTATTAAGTTGGATATCTACAACAGTACCTTCTTCTTGGGGTGCCAAGCTGCCATGACATACCACTGAAGGCACTCAGTAAAGTGAGCTCTCATTCCCGTGTATCATTATTAATTATCATTTTTTTTTAATTTATTTATTTATTATGTATACAATGTTCTGTCTGTATGTATGCCTGCCCACCAGAAGAGGGCACTAGATCTCATAGATGGTTGTGAGCCACCATGTGGTTGCAGGGAATTGAACTCAGGACCTCTGGAAGACCAGCCAGTGCTCTTAGCCTCTGAGCCATCTCTCCCGCCCCATTAATTATCATTTTTGACAAGAACATGAAATTGGAGTGGGTACAAAAGATGGAGAGGCCCACCTAGCTTGAGGGGCCCTGCGGGAGCTCTGTGGATGCTGTGTGGAGCTGAATCTTTCTAGGAACAAGCGCCTGTGAGAAGACCAAGGAGAGGAAGGGCAAGTGGTCCAGCCGAGAACCAGTTTGTTCAAAGGCCTGGGGGTGGGGTGGGGGTGAAATATCCCATCAGGTACAGAGAACCACATACCCAGAGTAATGGTTCTAGGCCAAAGAAGAACTAGGGTCAGATCTGGAGAAGACTCTCAAGAGCTCAGCAACATAATACCAACCATCAGAGCTGCCTTTCAGAGAGTTCAAGCAAAATTAACCAAACTCGACTTTCCCTTTCCAGGGTCACTGTTGTGACCAGAATCCCACTGTTGCCATCACATGATTCTCGTTCTGCGATCAAAGGTGTCTTGTTTGTTTTATCTCTGTAACTAATCAACTAATCTGACTTAGGTTTTCGTTGTAACTAATCCCTCCCCAATGATTTCAAACACCTATCCTCCTAACCACAAGGAGACTCTGCACTTACAAGATTCACACAGCAATGGCTTGCCCTCGGAGGAAGCTACTGCAATGGCAGCTTCGAGGGTCAAGACTCTCTGAAAGGGAGGTGGGTGTGGAAGGTAGAGCCCAGAAGGGGCTTAGAACTGTTCTCAGGAGCTGATGCCACACATCCTGAGCAGAAAGCAGGAGATAACAACAGCCCCAGGAACTGGAAAGGCACAAAAGGTCACCTAGGAGGAGGAGAAAGAGATTCACCGTGGCACGATGGGGGTGAGGAGGAACCAGCCTAAGACAAGACCCACAGTTAGTGGTGGAGGGCAGACAAAGGTAGCTGCTGGAATAAATCCAGGACAGTTTCTTCATACTTCATTCCTGAGTGCAGCCTTCCTCTTGGTTCTCTTTACTCGTGTGCCCTGAGTACCTTCTGTGCCAGGCTCCAAAGAGGCATGGCTCAGAGAGTAACCAGTCTCTGTCTTCACTTAGCAGGTTCACTGACTAGAGAAAACAGCTCATTGCCACAGAAGGACACATAATCTCCAGTCATGAGGACTTGGGGAGGGAGGGAGAGAGTTCTGTCGCTGGTATTGAGCACCCGGTCCTTCGTGCTGAGTGTTGGCCCAGATGAGCTTCTGAATGCCACCCTGTTTAGCCTTTGTAAGCCTCCTCTGACAAAAACACATCAGCATAGATAGTCTACTTTTCAGGCCTCAATTCTCACTATTCAGAATGAGAGAAAACAGAAGTCACAGCTAGGAAGGGGAGGGCAAGCAAAAGAAGCTGAAGCCCTAGACACTCCTTACCTCTTCAGACCTTTGGATTTCGTCTTGGGTTTTCATCAAGCATTGATTTTTCCAGATCAGTTTCCCCCATCACATGGCACAGTTCCCAAGTGCCTGTGTCTTACCCTACTGTCATGCCACAGAACCAATAATGCGCTGTTTGTGCACGTGTGTTCATGCGTTCTCACGTGTTTCTGTGTTTAATTCACACCCAGCCAGGGAGGACAGCGCAGACTCAGAGGCAGGACCCAGGCGCCCTGCCTCTGCTGCGGGATCATCTCTGTGGGCGGCTGCAGTCAGGGGTACCCAGCACCAAGGACGCGTAGCTTGTTTTGTTATGAAATCACAGCAAAACAAAACAAAACAAAAAACCAAGGTCATAGTATCAACCTACAAGTTCGTGTTTCCTTTAGGAGCAACCGGGAGATTTGGAAATTATGCTGGGAACAGTGCCGGCAGGCACAGAAAATTTTTTTTAGCAGCTTCTAAACCTTCTCAACTTTGTGCCTCAAACCGAGAAATAACTGAGCAGACACCTACTGTGTAGCAGGAACAATCCAGCACCCTGAGCCCAGGAGGAATTCCTACCCCATCTTTTTCCTGGTGCTGGAGCAGTTTTATTGGTGGTGGTTTTTTAACCCTTGAATGACCACGTGAAGTTTTCTGAAATAAACCTCTGGTTTTGTTTTCTTCTCATTGGTATTTACTAGGCCGGAGCAAGTTATTCTTCTTATCCTTTTCCCCCTGAGTTTTCGGGAGGGGGTAGGGAGAAAACCCAGCATCTGGGTCTGGGACCACTTGAAAAGTCTGGGCAGGGACGGCTAAGGACCTCCCAGAGATAATCCAAATGGTTGATTTGGCAAAGCCCATTCTTGACCTTGACACAAGACAAGACTGGCAAGGCCCCCTCCCCCATTCAGCCAACACCTGGCTGAGTTGGAAAACATGACCGGCCCAACCTTCCTACTGGCAGCAATTGAAGCTGTCAGCTCCTGCTTGTCACCAGTTCCACTGGAAGGCCTGGGGCAGCCACAAGAGCCCTAATTAGGCAGAAATGACACTTCCACAGCTGACCTGCCCGGACCTTTGGCGGACCATTTAACATCATTAGTTAGCATTTTTAAAAGTGTGAATGTAAATGAACAGCCAGTGGCTTTCAGTGGAGTTTGTCGGTGGCATCCCCCCTCCCCACTCACCCTTTTCTTCTCTTTTTGCATGAATAGCCCACTTGTTTTCTCCGGAATTGGAGGGAGGCATGAGGAAGGAGGGGGTAAGAAGACCATCCTCTAAGGAGACAGATAGACGTGTTAAAGCATAAACAAGCTCGGAACACCAGAAAGGCTGGCTCGTCTTGCCCGCATATGGCAGGGCATGCAGCTGATCTCCCAGGCCACCGGCGCGGAACCAGGAGACAGAGAGAGCCCCACGGGGCCAGCAGATGCCAGGTCCCCCTCCACATGCCATCCACAGTCCCTCTGAAACACTCACACTCTTTCAAACCCTTCCCGGGGTCCAGCTGTGCCTTCTGCGAGGCCGATGTTGCTGGCATGTGTGCCTACGTGTAAATGCGCCGGTTCCCAATGTGCCTGGTCCAATACTTACACAAGAGTTCTTTTCCTACCTGCTGTGGCTATTTCCCGCCTTGAATCGCACTTCACTTTGCTTTTTCCTTTGCACCCACAGAATCCGTACACACCGACACTCTCCATCTGCAGGAGGGGAAGAAGAGAGTTGCACTGTGAACACTCTTGGCTGACGGTTTGCGGGGTGGGGATGGCAGAGGTGCTTGGCTCCTGGGGCAGGGTACCTGACACCCAGTCCCTCTGTTGTTGGCCTTGGGTGCTTAGTTCTGGGCCTCAGATGTTATCATCTGTAAGATAGAAAAAAAAATGCCTCTCTGTATCAAGTGGGAAGGGAGGGAATGGAAGTACTGGGAATGCAGGGAGCTGTTATCTGAGTATGAGGAGCTGTGGATGGGTGAGCGCTGCCCGAGCCAGGTCAGAGCACAAGGCACGCTGGGCACGGCAACCAGAGCACCCCAGATCCCTTCTTGGCCTCCCCGACCCTGCTTATTATTCTCAGAAGGGGACATGGATGTAAAACGGCTCCCACAAAACCGTCAGTAAAGGAGTCATGGACTCCCTCCTCTGGACCCCACACAGCATGAGTGGGAGGCAGACCTCATCTACTTCCGGACTTCAGGAAGCCCCAGAACACTTGTGGGTACATGGTAGATGCATGTGCAATAAATGTAGGGGGGACATAAGAGTCCAGCCCTCAGGACGTAAGGGATGTGGGTAAGTGCCAGGCAAACCCTGGGCAGGAGAGTCATGCTTGTCTCTGCATTAATGAGTCAAGTCAAGCAAAAGCTGTGTGGTGGCAAAGAAAAAAAAAATGCCTGGGATGAGTCATGAGACAGAAGCAAAAAGAAAACAGTCTTAGCTTGAGGCAGAAAGAGAGAAACTACTTAGGCTGCTCTTAGTAACATTTAGTGGAGAGGGAGGGAGGGGAACCTCCTCCTAGCCGCCAGGCATTTACTGCTTTTAAGCTAAATACCTCTGCATATTAAGCAAATAGAGAAACACCAGCTAGAAGATGCCATCCAATTGAAGCACACTGAGCCTAGAAAGCCTGCAGGAGGTGTAGGGTTTGACCCCTTTCCCGTCACATGCCTGGTCCCAGCCCTGCTGTTTAGCACGGTGGCTTCTCTCCAGCTGTGGGGCTTATTGAAAGCCTCAAGCCCCTGCCTGGTTTTGGCACATTTTCTGCAGGTCCCTCCTACTGTGGCCACAATGGACTGCCCGTCAACAGCTCTGGGGAAGGGAGGCAGGCAGCAGCTGAGGGAGCGCAGTCATTGTCTTAAAGGGCCAGTGGCACTGTGTGGCCTTAGGGCGCGCGGGGCCTGCAGCTCTGGTTCCCGCTAATGAGATGAACCCTTTTCTCCCGACTTGCTCTTTCTCTCTTTAATGATTTAACTTGATCGCTTTGGTTCTTTTCTGGTAAGGGAATTGCTCCATTGATCATATAAAGCAATTGCCTGTAAAACACTACACCGCAGCAAGCACTACTCTTCCCTGGCTGAAAATGTCACAGCAATTGGAAAGCTCTTAGCCCAGTTCAGGAATGAGGTGGCGGAAGAGAAGGGTCTTGGCGTGTAACCCCAAGTGCTCCTGTGTTACTGGAGTTTGGAGATGTGACCGATGAGGTTTAAGATGGAGAATTTCGCATGGGTTGGGGGAGGGGACGGGTGTTTCTGACTTGTCACTTGACGGCAGCAGTGACACACTGTGGGGATGGGGACCACACACTTGAGGCGTTTTCATAAACAGTTTTACTAAGTAAGCTTTGCCTTGCTGGGATGCGGGAGTAAGTCACCTGGGGGGAGGATGCCGGATGCATGAACCTCCCGGGTAATAAAGAGGAAACTTGTTAGTGGTCGTTCCTTTCCTCCGACAGGTTGAAGGTCCAGGTCTGTAGATAAACAAGGGAAGAACTGGCTTCCAGCATCACTGGCTAGAAGTGCTGGTCGCCAGGTGTCTTCTGGGAACAAAGTTTCAGGTGAATCGCCTTTGGCCACCAAGCACTGCCTGTTCTTTTGCAGCTAAGGCAGTAGGCATGCTCTTTACTGTACTTGTTCAAAAGGCAGAACACCTGAGGGCTTGCTGACAGAGTCCAGCCACCAGCCGCGAGAAGACCACTCAAAAGGGGTCCGGAGAAAAGTCACTAACCACAAAGGGGCCCCAGCTGTAGACAGACACCCTCACTATATATAAATACAGCGTATGTGTCTTTTGGGGGTTCAGATTGTAAAATCTCATGTTAGAACACACAGGACTGATAATCAATTAGGAAATCATATGCACTACACCATATTATACCACACATATTAGAATACGTATTTCCCCTAATCTACTTATCCAAGGAGGAAAATGAAGGCGAGGGAGTGTTCTTTAAAGTTAGGCCTATTAAGGAAATGTGATCCTTGACTATGAAGAATTGGGTTGGGAGCCATTAAGAGTGAACCTTAAAGTTTATTTATATTTATATTTAAAAGGCATTTTAGAGCTGGGTGTGGCAGTGTGCACCTTAAATCCCAGCACATAAGAGGAAAAGACAGGAGGATGGATCTTTGTGAGTTGGAGGCCAGCTTCACACAGTGAGTTCCAGCCCAGCTAGAAGGACATGGTTTGTCAGTAAAATTAATTAGATATATAATGAGATGATTAATATAGAACTAGATAAAAAATGCACATGCTCAGAAGCCCTGTCTGGCTCTAAGACTCTCAAAAACACAGAAGACTGACCCTGTTGAGAAATGGCTGAGAGACATATAGTCTGCAGCTCTGCCTATCCATCAGTGGTCTGGACGGGAAAGTAGGTTGAGGCTAGCCCTTGAGGTCAGGAGCAGGGGAACACGAACATTTGGGGGCAGAAACCCAATTCCCATAATCAAAGAATAGAACAGAATGCAGGCTCCTGGCTGTGATCACACCAGAGGCTTGGCTGTCCGGGTAGGAGGAGCAGAGTAGGGGGTGGGAACAGACAGCCTGTGTCCTCTGTATGAACTTTAGAGTATATGCTGTGTGTGTGTATGGGTGTGTATGTGTGTATGTATGTGAGTGTGTGTGTCTGTGTATGTGAGTGTGTGTGTCTGTGTGAGTGTGTATGTGAGTGTGTATGTGTGTATGTGACTGTGTGTGTCTGTGTGTGTATATGTGAGTATGTATGTGTGTGTGTTGGGGGGGTGATGTTGGAGGGGATAAAAAGGACTATCTGATACAGGACAAAACAAGCCAAAGGAACTAAATGTCAAATCTGCCAGGAGTCGCAGGCCTGCTGCCATCTCTTCGTGTCCTCTCGGCTCTGCACAAGATGCCTGAGGTTTGACAGGAATCCCAGAGTCCACACCAAGCTGCTTTACTGCTTACTCCCAATGGGGATCTCTCTGGTGTGTTTTAAATGACCTGACTCACGAGGTATAAATTAACCTTTGGCTAAGTACATCCGAACTTCACAGTCAGCAAACTTTGTGAAGCTGTGAGGCATGTGCCTAGAGCTAATAAATGCATTTTAAAACATCGCCTTGTTCTGACACACATGCTCGACTAATAAGGTAAAAGCACACAGTGATGAGAACCACAGCCCAGGCTCATCTGTAGCTAATTTGAGTAGTTATTCCTAGGGTTAAAACCCAGAGTTGTGGTGAAAGCCACAGACAGCTCAGCCTGAGCCTCTTAACTTACTTATAAACCCACACATTTGTATTTGTTACTGACAGGTATCTCAGCCACTAGGAATTACCTAAAGAATGCGGTCAGATTCCTTCTACTCATTCCAAAGGCAACCTCAGGCCGATGGGTATGGCACCTGCTGCGAAGTGGGTTCTGCATCTTCCAGTTAGATAGCGATGCTGCTTGGCCTTCACAGGACCCAGGCCAGTGCAGAATCACAGGCTAAGGGAAGAAAGGCCTTGGTGGAAGGCAAGAGAGAGCGCTCAGTGAACATTTCAACCGCAGTGTGGATGGTGAAGTCAGATGTGACTGCAGCCATGGGAGCCGACTTCACTCATTCCAATGGAAGTCTATTCTGCGGTTCCCCTTCTTCTGGAAGTCAGAAAGCCTGACTAACCCCAGAAGTTTCCTGTTTTGTCCTTTTCTTTTCAGTTTGATACAAATCCCAGCCTCCTTACTCCAATGATATGATGTGGGATTTCCCTCTGTATGCTGTGAATACCATTGGTTAATAAAGAAAATGTCTTGGGCCCCCACACAGGGAATAGAGGTAGGTGGGGAAAACTAAACTGAATGCTGGGAGGAAAAAGGTGGAGTCAGGGAGAAGCCATGTAGCCCCAATGGAGACAGACGCCGGGACTTTACCCGGTAAGCAACAGCCATGGGGCAATACACAGATTAATAGAGTTGGGTTAAATTAAGATATACACATTAGCCAATAAAAAACTAGAGCTAATGGGTCAAGCTCAAGTAATTTAAATAATATAGTTTCTGGGTGACTATTTCTGGAATCTGCTAATGGGTCAAGCAGTGATTTAAATAATATAGTTTCTGTGTGATTATTTCTGGAATCTGGGCGGCCGGGTAATGAACAGGCGGCCTCCCTCAACAATGATATTCTCCCAGAGTTACAGACTATTTTAAAATATCCGATTGGAATCGACACACACTTGTGGTTATCAACACCAGCGCGTCTGAATCCCTGGGATGACTTACAAATGCCTATCACAAGCTACAGGTGACACAGGGTGGAGCGGGGGTAAAATCCTTGTCCACAGTTAGAGAGTACGGTGTGTCCATCATACATCAAACAAAGGTCAGACCAACCCAGAGGGTCACGTGTGTGTGGCACAACCAGGGTGTGAAAAGTTCCAGGACACCCCCAATGAGTCTGAGTCAAACCCAGACAGCATTCATAAGGGAAGGGGAACATGAAAACACACGTGCACACGTGTACACACGAGCACACACACACACACACACACACACACACACGGTTATTTTTGCTTTCATCTAGCAGATATTTGGAGATGAATTTAACAGCGTTTTAATTTTACATTACTCATTTTGGTTGAATTTCCTGCTTCTGCAGATTTATAATTATCTCCATCAACAAGGAAATAATTTCCACTACTCTTGAGTTTATTAGAAATGTACAAATATTTTAGCTGGCCAGTGGTGGTGCATACCTTTAATAC